CTGGCCTGCAGTTTGACAGGCTATTCTTAGACACAAGAAAGAATGATGCAAAAATTACTTTTCGAAGCATTCATCTTGCCAGAATTCCTAATTTTATTTTGATGCAATTATAGCAATAACATTTAGTAATGCTGTTGCTAAAGAAACATTAACATTTTGAATTTATAGTGTTTTTCAAGGACAAACGTTAGTTTTGCTCTATTTTCTTGTTCTGAAAGTAGAAAACTAGAGTTTATAAGCATGCTAAATCTTTTGGAAGTGTATAATGTCATTGTTAATAATAAAATATGACCCTGAAGAATGGCAAGCACATACAAGAAGAAGGAAGATTTCGCTTTCTTAAAAATTTTGAAAGTGAGGCATAGAAATTTTTAGGGGTTTTTTTGATTGTGTTCTATTTTTCTGTTAGTTTCTGCTCTCCTTCACTCCTCACTGACAGGCAGGCACAAACCCTAAATATCTTGCCAGTTCATTTTAGACTTTTCCTCTGTTATTAATTTATCCCTTAAGAACGTGATCTAACTCTTGCTGGAACAAAGAGAAGGAGCTGTTGACTTAAAGCTGAGTGTGGTTAATGCCATCAAAAGAATTAAATGAACTTGACTTCCCTCTGGGTTTTATGCCCATTGCAAGAGTTAATTAGGGTGGGATTTTTGTTAGGAAATAGGAAATAGTTAGGGTGTCATTTTTGTGAAGTATAAGATAAGAATTTGTTAGCTACAGTGAGTGAACAGCTGAGTAGTCACTGATAGTGTGGGACTGTGCTATTAGTTCTCTGTGTACGTGCTCTTAGTGTGCCTTAAATGGAAGTTAACATATTCTTATACAAATAGAGAGCTGCTTCATGTAGAAGGTATTCTTGTGTGCATGAGAAATGTCATGAAATCATTGCAGAGAGCAAGAGCACTCTAAGTTCACACCATGCTGTATAGCACACGAGCTTTCCTTCATACGTAAAACTTTAAAAGGTGACACAAAATTCATTGTATTATTGTTACTAGTAATAAAACAAAAGATACTGCCATATTAAGCATATTTGGATCTGATTCAGTGCTAGCTGCAGTAAGCAAACTCTAAAAGTAGTCTATTACAACAATTCCTTTCTGTTCTGGTTTCTTTAAGAATGCTTTTATGTTTATATTTTGCAAATCAGCTGCTTGTTTTTCAACTCCTATAAGACTGTGACTAATCAACATAGAGATGCTGTTTCAAATATGTTTTAAATATGTACTTTTATAGAATCTTGCTCAACCTTAGAATTGGTCCCACACATGTTTTCTTTCTTGCTTAAGAATTACTATGCCTTATTACATTTTTGTTATTATGGACTTAGACCTCCAGGCTACTGAAATACTTGGAAAGGTTTTTTCTTGAAAATAACTTCAGTGAAACTAAAGGGTTAAATCCTCTGAAAAGCTTAGCTTGAAATATTTTCTTCTTACGAAGTCAAGATAACTAGGAACAGAGTTGATAGTATATACCTGTGGAACTCCTTCTGTAAGACTGTTATAAATTATTTTAGTGACAATCTTGTGACTATTTTTGTTTTGTATACTGGCATAGCATCATTAACTTTGAGAGCCTTGTATTAATCCACAAGGATGAAGTAACAAGTATTTCACAAGCTCAATTTTTTAAAACAGAGAAGCTATATTAAAGGTGCTTGTTGAGAAGAACCTAGAGGAGACCAGCTAAAACCAGTTGAATCTTTGGAGGAGATGTGGAGTTTGTTCTGGAATCAAAGATTTTGTCCACAGAAATTTAAGGAGGACTGAACAAAAGCTGGCATGACTAAATTGGGGGGAAAAAAAAAGTCATTAGAATCAAGGATGCATCTTTCATAAAAAGTGAGTACAGTTAGTAATGAAATAAATTAAAACAAAAAAGAAAACACCAGCAAACCACAACCACGTAATTTGAGCACCTTAAATATAAAATTGACATTAGGCAAGCAAAAAATGTTTATTACTTGCAAACAACAGAAAAGACTGTTACTGACTCCTTTGAAAGTATAACAGGAGCAGCAAGTGTACAAGTCCACTAGATAATTGCCATATCAAAGAAACATTTGGAGAGGATGAGGTGTACAGCTGGGTCATCCCTGGGAACAAACAGATGGGTTCAGTATGGAGGAACCTGTGAAGTACCTGCTTAGAGGCCCCTCTGGGACCTTAGGATGCTGTTGACGTGGCAGGTTGGATTCAATGTATGTTAATATTTAGTGATGCACACTAGGGAAATAACCCCAAATTTTATATTTATGTGCTTGATTTGGAGATAATTGTTACATTTGGGAATGAGATCTAGGAACTGTGATAAATCCACCAAAATGCTGCCTTGGTGCGTAGTAAAGTAAATCTCATTATAATCATAGAATGGCCTAGACTGGAAAGGACCTCAGAGATCATTTAATCCAACCTCCCTGTCATGGGCGGGACGCCTCTCAACTAGATCAGGCAACACAAGTAATTATCTAGGAAATAAAGAACATTCAGAAACACCACTTTCCCATTCAGCAGTCCAGCAAATAAGTCAGTCTTGTATACTGTGTGATGTTTTCTCATAGTCTGGATAAACAGAGTAGAATTGGAAGAGCTATGCAGAGAGTAAAAAGTTACCAAATAAAGAAGAGCATCTCTATGATGAATTGTAAAGTAGATTGCTTTTCCTGGGAAGAGTTATGCTAGAGATCTTCGCAATCTTTGGTGGCATGAGGAAAAATAAACAAATGGGGTGCATTGAATGAAACTTGAACCTTCTGAGCTGAAAACAATTAAAAGGAGGTGATTATTTATGCAACATCTGGAGGCTCTGCCATTCTTCCTGCAAAATCTCAAGAATACTAAAGCTGTGTAAGAGGGCAAAATTCACTGGAATAATTGATGGCACACTTGAGTTTTAAAATGTTTTAAATAATGAATTCAAGGTGGATTTGGTGCAGAGCCTTCCTGTTGAAAAACTTTAATGAGTTTCCCGCTGGGACCGGGATTTACTTGAGAGGGTCCAACCACGGGCTACGAGGATGATCGAGGGACTGGAACACCTGCCTTATGGGGAAAGGCTGAGAGACCTGGGGCTTCTTAGCCTGGAGAGGAGGAGGCTGAGAGGGGATCTAATTAATGTATATGAATATATGACGGCTGAGTGTCAAAAAGGAAGGGACAACCTCTTTTCACTTGTGCCCTGTGATAGGACAAGAAGCAATGGGCTCCAGCTAGAGCACGAGAAGTTCCACCTCAACATGAGGAAGCATTTTACTGTGAGGGTGACAGAGCACTGGCACAGGCTGCCCAGAGAGGTTGTGGAGTCTCCTTCTCTGGAGACTTTCAAGACCCATCTGGATGCGTTTTTGTGTGACCTGCCCTAGTTTCTGTGGTCCTTTTCTGGCAGGGAGGTTGGGCTCAATGATCTCCAGAGACCCCTTCCAACCCTTAACATTCTGTGGTTCTGTGCAGACTATGACTTTATACTAACTGCACTGTACTGCAGCTGTTTTTCTCCCAGAGTCAAATCTACCAGTAGGCACCCCTGTATCTCCCTGCTGTTTGAACTCTTTTTTTACCTCTCACAAATGCCAGCACTTCAGCTATGATGGTAGAGAGCACAGCTCAGAACAGACTAACCTACTTTATTCAGATTTTACAGACTGGCTGGATAAAACTTTTATAGCTAAGTTCCTACTACCAAGTTAGTTTAAAACTCCCTCGGCTGTGTCTCACTATGCTGGCAGAGTGCCTCATATAGAAGTAAAAGGGATATGGATCTAGAAGTGGTACTGGATTACTTTGTAATCCAACTATGATATAAGTGGGCGCTAATTTCACCAATGGAGTTAAACTGCCTGACAGCCATAATTTCTCTTCTGGCTAAAATTTCCCTGTTACTCATGAGTAGTGACATTATCCCAAACAATGAATACTCCAAGTAGCAAATATTTTAATTATTTATACTTAGTTGTTTGTCTCTGCTATGCGTATGGATATCTGAAAGCTTCATATCTATTTCTCAGATTAATTTTTATAGTCTACAAATTAAATATTAATTGGTATGAGGTTATTATTAGAAGAGAAGACTTTACGTACTGGGAAGTTTTTTACAAATCTTCATATGCATGCCATACGTGTAAATATTCTTTGATAGATCATCCTGTTAACCACACTATTTTGCAGTTGTGGAATATTAATAATACTGGTTTGTAATCTTTAAATTTGCTCTCTGTAGTACACTCAAATGAACTGTTTATATTAAAAAAATCATAGCATTTTGCTAAGGATTTTCTATTAATTTTCTTTCTAGGTTTTTGTCTTGGTATGTGTGGTGCTTTTTTTTTAAAAAAAAAAAAAACCACCTGACAAATCTTGAAACTAAAATGAATGTACAGGAAATTACTAACAATTCTCACTTCACATTTTTATTATGTTGTATTATAGTTAGGTAAAGGCTTTATCTGGTGGCAGAAAGTCTATTTTTTTAATAGCAAAATATTATCAAAATTCACATTTACAGCTTATGAAAACAGAAATGAATTTTCAGTAAATTTAGAGCCATTTAATATTTAAGCAACAAAATACAGAAAAAATAATCTAGTTTTTGTTACTCTGTAGTCTTTCTAACTGAGTCTTCTACTTCTAGCTGTTGTGTTGTGCTCTTATTTTCCCTTAGTCAGACATAGGCCAAGGTGTAAACGGTGTTGAACCAGAAGATGAGTCTTTAGCTCATTAAACATAATTGAGTCCCTGTCTTAAGCTGAGAAAGCTGAACTGAGAAAAGGTACTGTTTGATGCTTATTCGTTACACCTTAGGATGGAGGGGCTGCATGTCCTGTCAGTGAGCTTTACTGGTGAATTTTTTTCATATAATTTGATTAGACTCTTTCATCATAAACGTAATGTCTAGCTGAAGTCTAAAAGAAATGGGATAGAAGAAGCAGCAAAAAAAACAACTTTTGTATGTTTGCTTTAAGTAGATTAAAGCTTTTATGCTTTGATTTTGTTTTGAAGGGTCCGTCTTGCTGGGATGATGTGCTAATTCCCAACAGAATAAGAGGTGTTTGCCAGTCCCAAAGGTGCAATGGAAACTTAGCGGTAAGATTTTTTTTTTATTTTATTTATTTTTGGTCATGTTTCACCAAATGCAGTGGCGCTTACGGTTATAATTGCTACAAACAGTTATTCTTACTTTAGAATTGCAGAAATAAATATAAATTGACATGTGTGGTACACTTCACAATAGCTATTCAGCATCAGATAATACATCTTCAATGTTTAGCGAAAGGGAGGAACTTGATCAGTTGCTGCTTGGAATGGAGGAGGAAATAATTTTGTCATCTCTGTCACTGAAGTAGACCTCTTGGATATTCAAGTGTGCATAGGTTTAATGTGGAATCTAATGCTTAAATGTTTATGTCAATGTTTATTTTATAATTATTGTATATATATCTGTTTCCTGAACAGCTTCAAATTTCTATGTCATCTTGCATATCACATCTTTCATATCAGATTTTCAGGCTTTGTCTACAGAAGCAGATTCTTTACACTGATTACAATCTGTTCTTCCACATGCTCATTATTCTTGTTTACTTGATGTGTTTCCTGAAGTGGCGTCAATGAAAAGCCCAAGTAAGAAATAGCATAGACACCTCGAATTCTTAATGAAGATTTTTCAAAACGTTATTTATATATACTTGTAAACTTTCATGTGCTTGATAGTATTCAATAGTATTTAATAATATAGAGATGTTGAAGCTACTTGCTCCTCAGGAAAAAGCTTAATTTAGGTTTTCCTTCTGGACATAGCTCATAAAGACAAACACAAAGCTTTGTACCTATTCATCGAAGGTTTGCAGATGGGACAATGTAAGTGCCTTTGTTTTCAGAGGCACTCACCTGCTCACGTGCGGTCTTCTCTTTGTCTTCTCCAGCAAGACAGTTGTGAAGTGGCACGACTGTGCAGTTCCGTAGGTGTCTGCTGCTTGGCCACAGATGGTGTCAGTAAATATTTTATCTATCTTGAGACACCAAACAGTTGTTTTAGCAGCATGGGGGTTTTGGGTGTCTTCAGGCAGAGACGGAACCTGAACTTGGACCTCACAGCTTTTGGGCTTCTGCTTCTTGGTGTGCTCCGTGTAGTCCTGGCTCAAGCATTCCCTTGACAGCGGCACGTACGAGACATGTGCTATTGGCGCAGCGGTGCTGAGCTCTCTTAGATGTGTAGAAGAAAGCACCACTTTGCCTCTGTTTAGATCAGCTGTAGTCTTCCTCTTCGGCTTCAGGAACTACCCTAATTGTAAGGGGGCTAACCATCTGTCTCAACTTTTGCTAAGTGATTGTTGTCGCTGGGCCACTACTGTTGCTGGAAAGAAGTTCTTTCCTGTTTTCCCTTCTTTCTTTAAAGACAACACAGAAAAATGAAGGAGAGAGAACTTGCAAGCACAAGAGTCTTTTTGTCAGGTGTCTAGCTCTAGCCTTTATATATATATATTTGCACACATGCCCTTGACACACACACACACACATATATATAAAAATAAAAGACGTGTTCAAGATTATCAGCCTTGTCGCTTATTGGGACTCCTAGAACACATCTGACTGACTTGCAACTACCAGCTCACAGCTTTTGTCATCCAATCAGTCTGTGAAAATGGTACCGAAATAATTGCACTTTTGCCAACGCTGCCTCCTGAACTACAACCCATTCCTTTGTTGAATCAATTATTATTTAATTTTTTTTTTAAACAGAAAATGGAACAACGTAACATCCTGACAGGAAGAGGGAGGAAAGCACTGACTATAAAACTAAAATCTTAACTAATGCAGATGCTGTGGCAAACAACTAATATCCAGTTGACTAAGTCCCATGACTCCAGTTGCTGTCAATGCCTCTGGCAAGTTGCATACTTAGCAGAGCCAAGGATCAACATTATCTTTCAGTAAGGCACCACTGAACAGAAAACAGGAGCCATCCTATTTTAGGCAGACATGGTGCAAATCCAGCTTCAAGTCACCTGAATTACAGACTGTTATTGGAGAAATGTGCTCTTCCTTTATTTCTAATCTAAAATATTTTCCCTTTCTATCAGCTGCAACCTACTCTATCCAATGGTGTTAGAACTGAACCAGACTGGGATGCAAGAATAATCCTCCTTTTTATGATCGTGAACAGAAACTGCCAGCAATAGCAATCCAGTCAAGAAAAAATAAGTGAACTTGACTAGTTTTTTTTACTGATTTATACATATCTATAATGATTTTTACGTATCCAGCAGGAGCCCTGCACCAGATCTTTGAATTAGTGACTTGCTGAAGTCCTTTAATCCCTGAAAGGGGTCCTTTTTGTGTTTTGGGGTGGGTAATTTTTCAGCCTCAATCATTGTGAAAACACATCTTTACTTCCTGGGAAAACTTCCAGTCCAAAGGCTTAAATTGCCGAGCCTTTTGTTTTGTGTCTTGCCCAGAGGCAGAAACAATAGAGATCCTACAGGTGTGCCTCCAGGGATTTGTCATTCTTTCCTGCTCTGGTAAAACAGTCTAAGTGTTTGGAAAAGAGGAAAAAATAACCTTAACTATTTCACAGGTTGAAACTTTGAAAGCCTTTCTTGGTTTTTACAGTCTTGGGGAGATTAAGTCACATCTTATGATTAAGTATTCATTTTCATTGTCATGACAAAGTTTGTGCAATTATATTTTGTCTGTCTTGTAGCTCCACAGTGTACATGCTTCTTTTACAGGGATGGGTTAGAGAGAGGCTTTGAGATTGTAGTTGTCAGTTATCAACAAACTACAAATATTGCTGTTTAATCAGAGAAAAAAATACTGCAGTATTTCTCCCTCAAGACATAAATATTTTGCTCAAGAATGGTTTTTCATTAGTTTCTGATTCTCATAAACACCGATTTGCTATGTACATTTAAGAGACAACGTGGCTGCTTCGTTTTGTTTTCTTTTTTTGCCAAAAGACTAATTTATATGTATTTTTGATAATAAAATTAATATATTGCCAGAAATTAGACTTCAGTTCTTTTGGCTGCAAATATGAAAACAGTGTAAATTGATAATATTGGAAAGCGATAGAAATCAAATTTCAGTTTAGTTAAATAAAATTCAAAAATTATTTCCAAAAACTATAAGGAATAGCTTGATGATAAATGCACTATGATTCAATATGTGTTCCAATGTTTTCACAAATATGAAAAGTATCTGATTTATTTTTGTGAGTTTCTTGACATAAAGCATAGATAATGTGAAAATTTAAATTCAATTTAGTTTATTTGTGATTCCAACAACTTTTGAGCTTGGAGTGAAAACCAGAGTTTTGGGGTTTTTTTAGTTGTTATAGTTGATAATTATGAGCAGAAGAAATGCAAGAGAAATAAGTATAATAGGTTAGTGTTGCAACATCTAAAAATATGATTAATTTTTGACTGAGAAATCAAAGAACGTGCAACACTGGATATCAGTTCCCTGTGCTGCCTGGAGGACTTTCGCACAAATTTTCTTAGTGTTAATTTCAATTATGGGCTATTAGCCTGTAGCCTGGGGTAATAGGCTCTTGAGAAGTTATGTGCTCTAACCAGAAATACAAAAGCTCACAAAGATAGGCAAAAATGGGGTTTAAACAGAAAATATAAATCTTGACAAGTTAATAAGCAGGGTTGCTTTCTGGGATTTAATGCTAGACTAATTTATGAAATAAAATGAGTAGTCTAATGTTTTAAGAAATAGTGGAAAAAAATACACAGAATATCCAAAGCAGAGCTCAGGGGTTTGTTTGGTTTTCACATTAATTACAGTCTATCAGAAATAATGCATTCACACTGAACTTCTAGAGCTCTGGAAGGCTGAAGTTGGTGTGGACATTTATGTTGCTGTACTTGTAGAACATACAAGTCAATTTTATAACAAACTTCACGTATATTAAATGAAGAACCAAAAAGTTCACTTTAGCTGATTGACACATTTTGAATGAGGATCAAACCGGAATCTTTCAAGCTGTTTCGCAGACCAGGACTACTCACTAAGTGAGGTGGAACCTTGTACTTCTGGTGACTGTCTTAGAACACTTTCAGCCAGAAGCATCGTATGTAGTTATGCAGGTAGACACTTATTATAGAGAAATGATTGAATGCATCAGAAGTGCTCCAGGCTCTGGTTCCTCTCCTTTCCAGGTTCTTGTTCTTGTAATTCTCTGTATCCTTTGAAAAGGGCAACCCAAGGGCTGTGGAAACAGGTGTGATTCTCTGAAACTCCAGATGCTGATCTCGGCATAATTTAGTTACAGCTTGAAATCATTGAATCATCATTGTGTTCTTTGGAGGAGGATTAGCTCAGTTGGGCGTGGCGCTAACAACACCAAGGTCACGAGTTCGATTCCCATTCTGTCCCCATGTGTTGCCTGATCTAGTCGAGAGGTGGCGTCCCTGGTGACAGGGAGGCTGGATTAAAATGATCTCTAAGGTCCCTTCCAGCCTAGGCCATTCTATGACTTAAAAAAAATCCTAAATGACTGCATAACCAAAGAGCAAAGATTACTGTTGCTTTTAAAGAAAGGATTCTTGTGAACAAGCTCCTGTTCTCCTTGAAAAAGAAAAAAAAAACTTATTCTTTTTACAAATTCAGTTCTCCTGTTTAGTACAGCAGTGTATTCGCACTAATGATTCAAAATTTTCCAGTATTTCTCTAATACTTTAAGACTTTCCAATAGTATTAGAACAGTTTTGTATCATTACTTCATCCGAATTAATGACTAAATCATGATAGTGAGATCACAGTAAATTTTCCGAGAAATAGGAAAAAAAAAAAAAGCTTTGCAAAGTATACTATCGGTGATGTAGAATTTATGTCATGTAGAATATACCATACCACAAAGCTAAAATGCTGCTTTTCTTAGAGAATTATAAATGATCAATTCCATTAGCTTGGGGAAATGGACAGAAATAAGATATTTCTCAACCAATTGCAAGATTGAGTGAGTGATATTAGAATTATCTTGTGTTTGGGTTTAGTTTTCAGTGTAATCGTAATACTAAGAACATATGCTTTTTGCTGAATAGATACAGCTGTGTTGTATATTTGAACAAAAATTGTAG